AAAGAAAATACTAGTGAAAAATGAATAATAATTGACAAGGCTTCATCTAAGAAATTCAGACAACTTAAGACTATTACTACTTGGTGGAAAAGCAAGAGAAAATAAGATGAAAATGAAATACTAGTGAAAAAAATGAATAATAATTGACAAGGCTTCATCTAAGAAATTCAGACAACTTAAGACTATTACTACTTTTGGTGGAAAAGCAAGAGAAATAAGATGAAAGAAATACTAGTGAAAAAATGAATAATAATTGACAAGGCTTCATCTAAGAAATTCAGACAACTTAAGACTATTACTACTTGGTGGAAAAGCAAGAGAAATAAGATGAAAGAAATACTAGTGAAAATGAATAATAATTGACAAGGCTTCATCTAAGAAATTCAGACAACTTAAGACTATTACTACTTGGTGGAAAAAGCAAGAGAAATAAGATGAAAGAAATACTAGTGAAAAATGAATAATAATTGACAAGGCTTCATCTAAGAAATTCAGACAACTTAAGACTATTACTACTTGGTGGAAAAGCAAGAGAAATAAGATGAAAGAAATACTAGTGAAAAATGAATAATAATTGACAAGGCTTCATCTAAGAAATTCAGACAACTTAAGACTATTACTACTTGGTGGAAAAGCAAGAGAAATAAGATGAAAGAAATACTAGTGAAAAAATGAATAATAATTGACAAGGCTTCATCTAAGAAATTCAGACAACTTAAGACTATTACTACTTGGTGGAAAAGCAAGAGAAATAAGATGAAAGAAATACTAGTGAAAAATGAATAATAATTGACAAGGCTTCATCTAAGAAATTCAGACAACTTAAGACTATTACTACTTGGTGGAAAAGCAAGAGAAATAAGATGAAAGAAATACTAGTGAAAAATGAATAATAATTGACAAGGCTTCATCTAAGAAATTCAGACAACTTAAGACTATTACTACTTGGTGGAAAAGCAAGAGAAATAAGATGAAAGAAATACTAGTGAAAAATGAATAATAATTGACAAGGCTTCATCTAAGAAATTCAGACAACTTAAGACTATTACTACTTGGTGGAAAAGCAAGAGAAATAAGATGAAAGAAATACTCGTGAAAAATGAATAATAATTGACAAGGCTTCATCTAAGAAATTTAGACAACTTAAGACTATTACTACTTGGTGGAAAAGCAAGAGAAATAAGATGAAAGAAATACTAGTGAAAAATGAATAATAATTGACAAGGCTTCATCTAAGAAATTCAGACAACTTAAGACTATTACTACTTGGTGGAAAAGCAAGAGAAATAAGATGAAAGAAATACTAGTGAAAATGAATAATAATTGACAAGGCTTCATCTAAGAAATTCAACAACTTAAGACTATTACTACTTGGTGGAAAAGCAAGAGAAATAAGATGAAAGAAATACTAGTGAAAAATGAATAATAATTGACAAGGCTTCATCTAAGAAATTTAGACAACTTAAGACTATTACTACTTGGTGGAAAAGCAAGAGAAATAAAATGAAAGAAATACTAGTGAAAAATGAATAATAATTGACAAGGCTTCATCTAAGAAATTCAGACAACTTAAGACTATTACTACTTGGTGGAAAAGCAAGAGAAATAAGATGAAAGAAATACTCGTGAAAAATGAATAATAATTGACAAGGCTTCATCTAAAAAATTCAGACAACTTAAGACTATTACTACTTGGTGGAAAAGCAAGAGAAATATGATGAAATTTATTCACATTATTGTCAGAATTATTCTTTCATGAAATTTGGATAACTATGTTTTTTATTTCACCTAGTAATTATTTATGTTAAGTAAACTAAATCAGACTGTAGATATGAACATGGTTGACTCACAGAACGATTTTTATTTTATCTTTAAGATGCCATTATGATGAAACTTGTGCAACAACACCACGCATGCGTACAAGCACATCCCGACCGTTTCTGCCTGTCTGAGTTGATGTTAAGTATGCATCAACTCAGGTCTGTCACGTATCGATTGACCATTTAGTAATTGATTTTTCTCTCATTCTGTAAAAGCAGTTTTTGGCATTGAATTATCCCAGGGAATCTGCAAAATCACCCATGTGACAAGGTTTGTCTCCTCATACGAACTTTTCATGCGCTTTCGAGCGTCTGTAAGCAGATTAACAGTTACGTGGAATCATTACTCTCCACAACTTCCTGTCTTTCATTTGATTATACCCCATCCTTCTTTATCCTTTTTCTGCCATCCATATGCTATATCTTATTTCATGTGTCATCTCTTTCCAGGATATGGGTGATCATGGCTCTCCACAACTTCCCACCATTTGTTGCTCAAAGTAACTTTTGACTTTTTAACTTCAATATACGTTCCTCTTCTATCGTCCATATACTTCGTCTTTTATATCCTATGTCTCTTCAGAGCGACAATGTCATGGCTCTCCACATCTTCCCGCGTTTTGTTATTCTAACTTTTGCTATCCATCTTCGTCATTTTTCTCACATCGATCTGTTTCATCGTTTATGTAGCAATTTTTTTTCCAGAACGTAGGCGATCATGGCTCTCCACCACATCCTGTCTTTTGTTGCAATATGTTGTGACCATATTATTAGCATAATTTGTTCTTGATCTATTATCCGTATGCTTCTTCTTCATTTATGTATCACATTCCTTCAATACGTGACGATCATAGCTCTCCACGTTTTTTCTTCCTTTTGGTGCTCTGAGCAATATTTAATTCTTGTTCATTGTTTCTGCTATTAGTTAATACGAGCTCATTGGACAAATTGTTCGCTATTTCTTCTCTACCCCTACTTGCCTTGTGAGTATTAAAATTTCCAAGGCGTCCTGAAGAGTATATACTATTGTGAGCATTCATCAGTAGAAACACATCCCTTTCAGTTCAATTCTCTTCTTCATCCGTAATGAAAGTGTCCAGTCCTTCCCGGTCACATCTATCCTTCTATATACCTACAGATATGTAGATAGCTACCTACCTACCTACCTACCTACCTACCTACCTACCTAC